CTGTTGCAAAGACAATGATTACTATCGGGCATTATGTTTTTCCCTAAAATACAGAAAAAAGTCAACGTCTAAATACTAGAGAATGTAACGCACACAAAAGCATCAATCAAAAGCACCATTACACCTGGCCAGTATTTGCTGTGCTCTTACTCTATGCCAAGCACCTAATAAAGGCTTTCTGCTTTCCAATAGTCCCAGGGCTCCCTGCCCAGTTGGACACACTGCATTATTTGCACTTAAGAGAAGCCCGGAATTGTCGATGTAAACACCCAAATCCTAACACTGGGCAGTCACTTCTTCTCTCACTCAGCACCACTTCTCTTCCATCCGCCCCTCAGCCACAAACAGCTCTGAAGTGAAATCAGCCCTGGAAAAATAAAATTCAACAAAATAAAAAAGACTTCGTGGCTCAGGAAGTGTTTCTCTCAATCCACCACGTCTAGCCCCAGAGCATTCATTAGGAGGACTAAGCTTGATTCCCTCGCTGGCCTGCGCAAAGCCACCCTCCGAAGATGGCTCTGTGGCAGAGCGTGGTCTGCAGGATTCAGGGGTCCTGGGAAGAACCTGGATCTGAAGCTCACAAAGGAGAGGCAGCTGGCCACAGGCACACGGCTGGGGTTCATCCTCAGCAGAGACCCACTGGGGCAGGTTAGGCAAGTGCTCTTCAGAGCGATCACCCGCTTCTCCAAGGCTTCAACAAGAAAGTGGAGAGCGCGGGTGCGTTCCGGAGAGAGGACTGGCGCATGCGTCCTGCCAAAGGCATGGGATCGAATCCCCGCTCCCCACAAGCACAGCTGGGAAACCAACCGGCTGTTTGCACATTCGTGTCTTGTGCTAAGCTCAGTATCTCAGAGTACCATTTCAAGTAAGAAAAAAATAAGAGCAGCGTTGTGAAACTCAGTATGTTTTCTATGGAAACAAGTTCCAGCAAATTATGTGCTGGAATAAAAAATGCTTTAAAATATGTTCAAAGAGAGCTCCGTCAGCGTGGTGATAGATTTCAGGGAATAAATAACGCTTTTTGGGGTATTGATGCTCAACAATAAAGCTGGTAGGTGACAGATAACAGGAATACTTAACAGTCCCTTTTACAGAAACCCAAATTGGATTGAACGTAAAAGTGAAAATGATTTTCCTCAGACTGTAAGTTCGTCTTTTCATTATTTATCTTTTGTGATAAAAGGGGCATATGTCGCCGTCCATCTGGATGGGCGACGGAGCAAACCGAATGGCGTGAAACAGAAACGCAGGATGTTTCCGTGAACTTGACGCCATGTCACTTACCAATCAATCCATTTATCATTTAGGGAGAAGATGTAGATGTGAGTGGAAAATGAAGTGGGAGACGAAATGAGGCCATTCAATGAACTGAAATTACTCAGTCTGGGGGAAGAATTAAGGAGAATGGCAACAAGCACAGTGTCAAAATAATCTGAGCTGTACAAACTCTACTTAAATAAACAGGACTTTTAGTCAAAGAAGCCCGTTTTTCGCTGAATCACTTCACCAAAGTGACATTTGGCAGAGAGGAGAGCAATAATCAGGACAGTGCAGGGCTCAGTGGGACTCAGTCCAAGCGTCAGAGGGACCGAGCCTCCCGCGCCAGACATCACCATGGCATGGTGATGTCATCACCCTAACGGATGACACCTTTCCAGGTTCTGTTCACATGTCTTCATGGCGTTAGGTGCACAGTAGGTGCTTTAAAAAGGATCCTCTGGGGTAAGCCTACTAGCTTGAAAAGTTTTAGTAAGTTGTGCACCTCTATTTTGACTGTCTTGAAAATACCGTGATTGATACCACGGATGAGCTGTGCATCCAGCTACCTGAGTGAAGAGTCTGATTATACTGTTCTCCTGTGGGTCCTGGAGGCTCCTTGGGCCAGTGAGGCCACCCGGGACCCACACTGAATCGTCCACTAACTGCTTCATAATAGATCAGTCATGCCTGGGGGGGGTGCACATTTCAAAACAGAGCTAAGCAGACTCGGAAGGAAAAGGAACCTGATTGTCCCCCCATGTGGAAGCTGAATCTCCTCTAGAATATTTCCCCCTAAGCCCTCTTCCCACCTGACTGAACACCCGAGCGGTTCAGGAGCACTTCTGCCTCATGGACCAGCACCCCATCCCTTTTATCCCCAGACTGAAATAGTCAGTTCTCAGTATCTGTAAGTTCTCGCGGATAGTGAAAAAGTTCTACCTCCCTGCAAGACTACTTCTGACCTCCGTAATCAGACTCAGTGGAATCCCTCTTCCCCAGCGTGGTGGGATGTGAGGAATTGGTCTACGTGCAGAACGCTCCCTCCCCCAGTGCCAGAATGCTCCCAGGACCTTAGGACTCAATGCCTCTTTGTTGAATAGATGAGTGAGTGAGTGAATGACCAAATGATGGAGCCTCAAACACTAGACAGTGTGTTTCATGGAAAGGAAAGGAATTATACTGTAGAGAACACTAAGTGAGAGTCAGGAAGGCTGGATCCTAGTCTGATGTCTGCGTCTCAGAATCAGTGACATCTTGGGCATATTTTGATACAAACTCTCTGGGGTTTATTTTTTTAATCAGAAAAAGAGGAGTCTGGTTACTTTTAATCTAAGTTCTCATCAGACTCATATTCAGTGTCCTTTAAATTCTAGGTTACACACGCCAAAGCTACATAGAACGTATTTAATCCCTCCCCTAGCTCAACTCTCCGAATACTTGGAGGAAAATGTGACTTTCATGCGTAATATTTATCCTCTAAGACATAGCTACATATGTATCTAAAACAGCTTACTTGTAGAAAAATCATTTCGAGCCTCTTCACTTACCTGGGTTGTCCATTTCTTGGAAGGCTTTAGTTTGTCAATAGTGCTCTTAAAATACAGCAGTTGGAACTAAACACAACACCACTAGCAAGTTCTGAACAGGACAGACTAGAGGGAGACCATCTCAGGAGTTCTAAATATAATTTCTCCCTCCCACAAATATTTACTGTTGGCTGCAAGACACCAGCCCTGCTCCTGGCACCGTGGCTGTAACCAAGGATGGGGCACTTCTCCCGTCTGTATCTTATTTCCAAGTAGGTGTAGACAGGGTGGATAATTTCAGATTGGGATCTACAGTCTAGATCGTGGCGTTATAGCCAATAATATTATTGGGACAGAAAGTGGGGCAGGGCGGGAGCTGCAATACTAAGACGGGTCCAGACAGGTGGACAGAGCCAGGCACAGAAAGGGAAAACATGACAGGTAAACAGGATCAGTAAATCCAGTCCCTCAGGCAGACATGAGCTTCATGGACCCAGAACTGAAGAAAAGCTCACGGGTACAGAAAACCTGGGGGGCAACAGTGCTATTACATGTGACGTCACTGTCGTGTGTGGCAGGTAGACTAGTTCCAGCTTCTCATGTTAGATTTGCCGGCCAGGTTGTCCCTGTTAGCGACGGTTCAGCTGAACCAAATCCAGTGGAGGGATGGTCCCTTCGCTAGAACTGATGGAGAGCACGGGGCAAGGGGAGACTGAAAACAGTCTTCGCCAAATTACATTTGAAAAAATACACTCTCCATGAAAAGGTGCACTGGAGGGCTGTTTTATTTAAAGGTCTAGGGGCCAGGTGAGATGACTCAGTCTCATGAGAGACTGTCTGACGTGATCAAGCCTTCCAAATATAGTTACATATTTAAGAAGTAAGTATACCTTTTGTATTTTCATTCAGAATATTATAAAAAGGGGGAAATATGAATTAGCCAAGGGAATGAGCCCTGTCAAAAGGATTTTGCACTTTGCATTTGATACTGTGCAAGTTTTAAAAATTTAAAGTACACTCTACTTTTAAGTATTTGATTTATTCATCTTGCAACGTATGTCTGTAGTCAAGAAAGGAGTCTTAAATGTGTTTCAAGAGCGCAACTAGGTATGGAGATCTAAAGGGCTTGATTTAGAAGAATAAAAATTAGTCACTAGCAGAATCATTGTTATGGTTGTAAAGTTAATTTAGCAGCTGAAATTAACCAATCTAGCAATGTCGGAGATGATTTCTATATATAAATGTGGTATTAAAACAGATTGTCATATCCTTTCCAAAGAATCAGTGTGGCAAGCAAAAAATCTGCATTTAACCTCTTCAGGCACTATCTTAGAAGCTGTACAAATTTATCAAGTGTAAAGGCAGGCTCTGAAACAGAAAATTTGATCATGTATTGGTTTTCTGAAGAGCCCTGACTAATATGGTCCATGAAGAGGCTGGTAATGAGGTGGAAGGACCTCAGGGAGATGATCATGGACGGGAAATTGAGGAAGAAATTTTTTTTTTTGGAGGTTGAAAATAAAAGGGTGACCCTTGTCAGTGGCAGAAAGTTTGGCAATATTGTCACTTGTGATGAGAAAACAGCTAACGGTATTTACAGGCTGTATGTAATGTGATCCAAAGGTAGAGACAGACGGAAAGAGAACTATGGTTTCTCAGGAAAATTCAGATGAAACATTAAGGGAGCCAGGCCTTGCTCCTTTTGTTTAGAAATAAAACTATTTTCTCCACCCCTAGTCCCTCCCAGTAGAAGAGTCTCAAGTCAGGAAAATGCCCCAGGGCAGATACCAAACCCTGCTTCCTCGGGTGAATGTTGCTGGGTTAAGAGGACATCAAGGGACAGGCTATAAAAGCTCTTTGGGAAGAGCCTGGAAGGGTTAGAAGTGGTGCCTCACAAACTCTTTCAAAGAGGAAACAAGCCTTCTCAGGATCTGAAGAGCTCCTCCGGCAAGTCCCCTCTGCGGAGCAGCGGGGATTCTGAGAATATTAAGATCCTTGTCTCCAGACACTTCATAGGAGGCCAGTGTAGTTGAGTTTATCTTGAAGAAAACTGTGGGTATGACTTCTGTCTGATTAAGTGGATTATAAATCACAACACGGGAGACCTACAACACGTTCAGGGAAATTGGTCCAGGTCCACCTTGACTAAAAAGGACAGAGACAGTCCGAAATGAAGAGGCCTGGGACCCACCACCTTTTGTGAGCAGGAAGCAAGCCTGAGAGGGCTTCTCACTGGAAGGGCAGATGACATGGAAAAGAAAGGCTAACGAAAGGGGAACAGCCAAGCCCTAGAGAGCAGAACCAAGAGCCTCAGAAAACTGCTTCGGGGAAGTCAGAAGAAAACCTGGTCAAAGAATTCGCAGCAGGTGCCCAGCTGATTTCAGAACTGCTATGGACCGGGGGCTGCTGTGTGCCTCTTATTCCTCCGTTTGAATGTGAGTGTGTGTGGAGATGACTCGACCGCTGCATGTTAAGTGTGCAGTGGACCAACAACGTGTCTCTTTCTTTCAGAGCTCATCAGATTGAGAACAACTGTCCCAGAACTGCACCTAGGAAGTCTCACTTACAACCAGAAAGTTTAGGTGACGAGATCCTGTACTTGTTAGTTGCTGAAGAAATGGGGTGGGACCTCAGAGGACTTGGGGAAAGGACTAAGTGTAGTTTGCACCCTGGAGTGCAAAGGAAGGTGTGTGAGGATTGATGGCCCCAAGTGAGCTGTGGTGGCTTTAAAAACAGGAGCCCCAGATTATTTGACACTATTTCCATCAAAAGGTGGGGTCTCGATACACTGCCTTTGCAGCTGGATAGGACTGTGAGCAACTGCTTTGA